AATGCTCTCAGTGTGCACTCAAAGCAACATAATAATTATAATTATCGTTATAATAATAACGATAACAATAACAATAACAATAACAACAATAAGAGGGGTCAAGTAGAGAAACTGAGAAGGATAATAATAGCAATAGTAATAATAATACAGCCTTACTGCATGGGTAGATATGCTTAAACCTAAGACACTGTGGTGAGGATCAAGTGTCCACAGGGATGGCACGGGGAAAAAGTGCGGAAGGAGATACTTCTTCCCGGCTCCTTCACTCTATCCCCCTGAAAGCAACATCCCTCAGCCATCTTGAAGTTCAGGCCAGCTTCGTGTCCCTCAGAGGCCTTGCAGCCTCCTCCAGAGTCTCCCTCCCTCTGGTCACATCTGCCCATCCCAGCAGAGCGGACAGTGGAGGTCCACTCCAGGTGCCCTCCCTGAAATGCCACCCCCTGGTTGGGCCTGCCTGGAAGGAGCCGCCTTTTCTGGGTCTGCTCCTACCCTCTGCCCAAGATCCAGCAGGACCCTAACCTTCTCTTTTTGGCTTTCTGGAATCTCCGTCAAGATTTGGCCCTTCACCAGGCTTGGGGGAAGAGTGGTGGAATCCTGTGAATGGCTGCTGGGGCATCGCAAGGAGTTTGGGAACATAGACGGCAGAAAAATAACTTTGGAAGGGACCTTGGAGGTCTTCTAGTCCAACCCCATGCTACAGCAGGGGAGCCTATACCACTCCAGACAATTGGCTGTCCCGTCTCTTCTTGAGAACCTCCAGACCTTCTGGAAAGAAGCCGGACCGTTGGTGAATTGTTGAGGACATTTCTAGGTTGCTTCGCCCTTGGATGAGTTTCCACCCGTTGCTTCTTGTCCTGCCTTCAGCGCCGTGGGGGGATTCGAAATGTTTTACTACTGGTTCTGTGGGCGTGGCTTGGTGGGCGTGGCTTGGTGGGCATGGCTTTTTTGGGGGGGGCAGCCACCACCCCACCCACCCATTTTGGGGGCCTTCCTGGGCCTCAGAGGAGTCTTAGGGGGCTCCTCCCTCCATTTTTAGCCTTCCTGGGCCGAATCCCGGCACAGCTGATCATATGAACAGCTGATTGTCGGGAGGGAAAAGAAAGAAATAGCTTAAGGGTCCAGCGTCAGGTGGGCGGGGTCAGTGAGCATCAGGTGGGCGGGGCAAGCGAGCCGGGGCTACTGGGTGACCGGGTCGGGGGTGGAGGGGCATGGCCAGCCAGAACTTACTACCGGTTCAGCGACCCATGCCAAATCCTTACTAGTGGTTCGTCCGAACCGGTTGAATACCACCACTGCTTCAGGGGCTTTGGAGAATAATTTGACCCCCTTTTCTCTGGGGCAGCCCCTCAAATTCCCTCAACCGTTCGTCATATAATTTAGCTTCCAAGCCCTTAAATCATCTTTCTTGTTTTTGAGGCTGGCGGTTTTTATCCTTGTGGCGAGCCACAACAGAGTTGTACTCTAGGAAACCTGTCGAGTAAAGAAAGGAAAGGTTTCGCACAATTATCCTGTTCGTGCAAGAATGATTAATACACTCTCTGCTTTCCCCTCCCCCAGAATATCAGAGATCTGAGATCAAAAAGAACATGGTGGCCAAAGTCATTGTTGCTGGCCTTTCCTTTTCTTGTGTCATCGTTATTGCGTTCATCGCGTGGCTGAGCCCATGCAACGCCAGGCGCCTGCAGTGTCCAGACACGTCTTTGTCCAGGACTGCTGAAGCAGCCCAGCCGAATCCAGAAAGCCCTCTTCCTCCACCAGAGCAGCCACCGGGATGAGAGAGGTGGGCCCAAGGAGCTGTGAGGAGGGGGCTTCCCATGTGAACAAAGTAATAAACATTCACACCGGTTCTTCCAAGGATCCCCACCTACCCTGGTGTCCTAACTCCAGTTTCCCTTTTCTGAAACATAACCCAGCCTGTTCTACTGAAGCAGTTTCTTCTTCTTCTTCTTCTTCTTCTTCTTCTTCTTCTTCTTCTTCTTGTTCTTCTTCTTCTTCTTCTTCTTCTTCTCCATTATTATTATTATTATTATTATTATTATTATTATTATTATTATTATTAACTTGATTTATTAAACATGAAACTCAGTCAACTGAACATTCAAAAATGCATCACAAATACCATTGACTGGTGCTAATGGTTCATACGGGTTGCTGCCAGAGTCCTAGGTGTCAGTCAAGTACCTTCTTAAGATGTATGATGTTCCGGGAGCGCAGAAGGTTTTTTGCAGTTCCATTGGTGTTGTTGCAGGAAGTTGCGATTTCTTGATGTATTTTATAAAATTCTTGGTCACGGTACCAAGTGCCCCGATGACAATGGGTATCACAATTACATGTTTCATCCATAATCGTGTAGTTTCGATGACTAGGTTGCGATATTTTGTTATTTTTTCCAGTTATTTTTCTTCGACTCTGGCATCTCCTGGTACCACGATATCAATAGATTGTACATTTTGGTTTTCGATAACTGTGATATCTGTCATGTGTTCCAAATGACGATCCGTCTGTATTCGAAAGTTATTATTATTGTTATTATTGTTGTTGTTATTATTGTTATTCAGAAAAAACAACAGTGTACACAGCAAATGAAATAACTATGCTAGATTTATTATCACAAATCACTAGTTGAACACTTCCCAAGCAGTTAGGACTGCATGATGTCTCGGCGGGTTATGCGAGCAAGTCCCAGTAAAGTGGCCTTCTGCAGCTGACCAGTGGTGATCTTGTCAGTGCCAATTGTTTTTAAGTGCTTGCCTGGGTCTTTAGGCACAGCACCCAGTGTGCCCAGTACCCCTGGAACCACCTGCACTGGTTTATGCCAGACTCTCTGCAGTTCGATTCTCAGGTCCTGATATCTGGTGACTTTTTCAAGTTGTTTCTTGTCGATTCTTCTGTCACCAGGTATGGCCATGTCGATGATCCACATTTTTTTCTTCTCCACAATTGTGACATCTGGGGTGTTGTGTTCCAAAACTTTGTCAGTCTGTATTCGGAAGTCCCACAGTAGTTTTTGCATGCTCATTTTCGGCCACTTTTTCAGGCTTATGATCCCACCAGTTCTTTGCTGCAGGCAAAGTGGTAGTTGCGACACAAGTTCCAATGGACCATCTGAGCGACTGTGTTGTGACGTTGTTTGTAGTCAGTCTGAGCGATTGTCTTGCAAGTATGTTGCTCAGTATGTGACGATGGTTTCGTCCACTTCTTTGCAGAGTCTGCATTTGGGGTCATCAGCAGATTTTTCTATCCTGACTTTGATTGCATTCGTTCTGATGGCTTGTTCTAATTATAATTGTTGTTGTCGTTGTTATTACACAGTCAGCCAGATGTTCAGGCTGGGTTTGGCACTTTCGCCTGTCTATCGAGTTCTTACCAAGGAACTGGGAGAGGGAAATCTGGTTGTTTGACAGCGTTACAGATCTCGTCGCAGGGTGGAAACTTCCCAGTAAAGCTGCCTTCTGCAATTGACTGATGGAAAATCTGTCAATGCCTGTGGTGTTCAAGTGGTCTGGCAAAGGTTTTGTATGCCCTGGTCTGCAGTTCGATGTTACCGGAGAAGAAACTTCGCAAAATTAGGTTAACCACTTTTCGTGCCTTTTTGGTAATGCTGTTACAGTGACACGCTCTGGGGCTTGGATCATTTGAAATGAATTAACGCCATAATGTTTCCGATTGCTACTCATGGCTGGGAAACCTGGACTCTTTTCAAAGAGCCAAAAGGAGAAGGGTGAGCACCTTGGAATCGCGATGCTGGAGGTGGCTCTTACGCATCCCGCAGACAGCGAAAATCACAAACAAAAACCAAACCTCACCCCAAAATATCCCTGGAAGCCGAGATCGCTAAGCAGGGGCTGCCTTACTTTGGTCGTGTCAGGCAAGCTAACGCCCTTGAAAAGTCAGTCGTGCCGGGAACAATCAGTGGAAAAAGGAGAAGCCCCACCCCCCAGTACCCACTAGCTGGACACTATAAAGGACAGCACCGTGATGGCCCTGGCGGATCTGAAGGAGGTGGTGTGGGTCAGAGGGGCAGGGAGAGGGCTGAGCCATAGGGTGGATGCAGGCCTGGGTCGGCTTAATGGCTGACAACAAACGACAGTGTCAGGATTCCAGCAATCGTCCCAATTAAATCATGATTCTTGAGCCAAACTTCAAAAAACTGAGTTGAAAGGAGGCATTTGACATTTCTTTGGGGAGGGGGCATTTAGGCTTGTAGGTCTCAGAGGTCTTCATGCTTTCTGTTGTGGCCCACCAGTGTCCAGTGGCACTGGTGGCAGACTTGGACAGTGAGGAGGTTGGGGAGGAACATGGGCCAGTCCTGGAGTCTGGGGAAGGCTCTGACGAGGGCTCTGCTTCGGAGGCAGAGACGGGGCCGGGGCCGTCCGACAGTTTTCAGCTGCCTTCAGAGTCAGAGATCAATGGGGCAGAAGAACAGCTGGAGCCTGTTCCCAGGGTGCACATGCACAGAGCTGCCAGGAGAAGGGAACAGTTAAGGAACAAGGGTCGACTCGGGAGTAAAAGCACAGGTGGACAGTGAATGCACCCTCCCATAGGGAATAAAGAGGAGCGAAAGGGGAGTGGTGTTTGCAGGAGACAATTAGTCTGTTTAATGAGTGTGAAGATTTGTTCGTGACTCTCAGAGACTCCTTGCCAAGTATTTTCTTGTACAGCATTGCGTTTGGAAGCTATCGGCCTGGCAACTCTCCAAGCCTGATAAGGTCTGTGGTTGCAATTCGCCCTTGAAAGACCGTTTGCCGGGACTTTGCTGGATGTGAATGAGAGGGATCCATATTGATAAGAAGGGGGGCTTTGTTGGGGCAAGTCTGCTTCATGATTTGGTGAACCCCAAGTTTCCTCATTTGGGGTGGCTGTAAAGGGCAGAAAGGAACCCCCCTCATGTAGGGGGCCATTGGGTGACACCCCCCTCTCCAACACAGTCAAGTCCGTCTGCTCCATCCCGTGAAATAACCTGCAGCGATTCCAGGTTCGTTTCTTTTCCTTTATTTATTTTTTTCTAGAATATAAAACTACACATTTCCCCAAGCGTCGTACAGAGAGAGCAAAGTTACAAGCAGCTTCGATTGGAGGGGAAGGAAGGGGAGGGGGGTCCTTTGCCCCAGTCCTGGGGGGGGGGGGGGGGGGGGCTGCAGAAACGCTGGCGAGCTAGACGGGCCCGTAGAACTGCCGATAAGCCTCCTGGAAGCCGATGTGGTCGGCCAACTCATCGCAGGCGGGGCTGAGCTCACAGACCTCCCGCTGGGCCTCAAGGGGGTTCACGGCCGCTTGGGGGGCAGCCCCGTAGCCACTGCGGAGGAAGCAACAGGGAGAGGGTGATTGGGGGAGGCCACGAGGGCGGGGGGGGGGCTTTCGCTGGGACGGGGCTTGGTCACTCTGCGGTGGAAGGCAGGGAGGCAAGGAAGCGAGTGGGGGGGGGGTGCCCAGGGGGAGACGGAGGGCTTGGCACCTACCGGTGAACATCTCCTCTGCAGCCTCCCCGCTCTCTCTTCCTCTCTCTCTTCCTCTTTCTCTCTTTCTTCCTCCCCCTCTCTTCCTCTCTCTCTTTCTTCCTCTCTCTCTCTCTCTCTCTCTCTTCCTCTCTCTCTCTCTCTCTTCCTCTCTCTCTCCCTCACTCTCTTTCTTCCTCTCTCTCTCTCTTCCTCTCTCTCTCTCTTCCTCTCTCTCCCTCTCTCTCTCTCTTCCTCTCTCTCCCTCTTCCTCTCTCTCTCTTCTTCTCTCTCTCTCTCTTTCTTCCTCTCTCTCTCTTCCTCTCTCTCTCCCTCTCTCTTCCTCTCTCTCTCTGATGATAGATGATAGACAGATAGATGGATGGATGGATGGGTGGATGGATGGATAGATAGATAAGAGAGAGAAAGAGATGAGAGATAGATAGATAGATAGATAGATAGATAGATAGATAGATAGATAGATAGATAGATAGATAGATAGATAGAT